GTTGATACTCTGGTGGGAGAGGTAGTCCTTATTACTGCTAAATGAGAATTCAAGGTCTCCACATGCTTTCTGTGGGTGCCATGTAAAAGACGGTGGGATAGACTGGTCACCATTCAGTGGAGATGGCAATTGCAGCTCCCATGAGAGAGTGTGGCGTCTTTGACATTCACAGAGGTGGAGGCGCCTCGATACAGACCAGTGATGGCAGACTGGTTCTCCATTGGCCTTGAGCTGGCAGCAGGGGGTGGAACAGGTAGGGTGTAGGTGTACATAGAGTTGGGGACTTGCAGTTTTCCTGGTGATATTTGGCTGAAGCAGAAAGGCTATTATCTATGAGTTTTCTTTCCTTTTGCATTTATTTATTTATTTTGGACAAGGTCTCTCAATTATGTAGCCCTGGCTGTCCTGGAACTCACTAAGTACACCAGGCTGCCTTCAAACTCAAAGACGTCCACCTGATCTGCCTCCCATGTGCTGGGATTAAAAGCAAGCACCACTACACCTGGCTTATCCATGCATTTTCTATTTTGCTGTGGATTGAGAGAGCAGGTCTGTGTAGGGGGCGTTGCCTTTGCTTGTGTGTGTGTCCCCGTTTGTATTTTCATGTCTTTGATTTCTTTGCATCCAGACATGGACTATTTTAGATGAAAAGGAAGGGGGGACTCTCACGGTGTCAGCTCACTTGAGACTGGTTGAAACTGGAGTCCAAGAGCGGCACAGCAGCAAGGATGGTTTCTCCTGCAGCCCCACTCCTTGGTTTTCAGACTGCCACCTTCTCACTGTGTCTTTAAAAGACCATGCCCATATCATTGGTGCCTCTCCTTATATGGGCCAGACCTATGGGTGGATCACAGTCCCTGGTTATGACTTCATTTAACCTCAGTTACTACTTGAATGGTTCTTTGTTACGATCAGTTTTCCCACCAGTCTGGTCCCACAACTGCGCCAGCCCCAAATAACACGCAGAGATATAAAGCTGTTGGCCAGTTACTAGCGTTTGTTATTGGCTAGCTCTGTCTTAAATATTAACCCATTTCTATCAATCTAAGTATTTCCACGTGGCCTTATCTTACCAGAGAGAGGGTCCAGAGTTCTGCTCTCTTGGGTCCTACATTTTGAATCTCCTCTTACCTCTCTCCCTGAATCCTCCTTGTTTCCTAGTCAACAGTGCTTTGTTCATTAACCAATAAGAGAAACATGTTTACAGAATGACATCTCCCATCAGTTTTCTCTCAAAATTCAGTCATAGTGTAGCTTAGATCTTTAATATACAACTTGCATGCAGTACAGTTCAATCCACCACACTCAATGGACCTGCCACCATGCTGCTTTTTTTTTTAGGTCATAGGTCCCTGTCTGGCATGCTTTCTTCTTTTCATCTTCCAGATCTTCTTATGTTTGTTTTAAATATAATATTTAGCCAGGACATCCAGTGGGAGGGATGAAAAGAAACCTAGTCCATTTTTCCTGGAAGACAAGACTCTCCCTTTTGAAAAATTTAAAGGAGATTTTATAAGTCAATTCAGATTGATTCTGATTCACAAGAGACAGGTTTCATTGATAAAGACATACTTTCGTTGACATCTCAGCCACTGGGAACTGGGATGATAAAGTTTACCTCCCTAACTCCATAGATTAGGGGAAAATATCAATTGTTTGATGGAAAATTTATCTCCCAAAAGATGTAATCCCTTGTCCTAGGAAGGAAAGTCGTTATGATGGACATGACAAAAGATTAGAAGCTCTGTGTCTCTAAGAGGAATTCTAGGACCTCACCCTCTGGAAGGAAATATGATTTGTACCTTTCCTGGTACAGACCAGAGAAGGCAGGAGTCCTGGGAAGGCTGGGTAAATTTTTGCACAGGTGTGCACAAATGTTAAGAGGGTGGGATCTGAGAGTCTGGCCCTTCTAAGACAGAGGCATGAGGTGTGTGTTATATCTTTGCACACCTGAGTGAGTCTAGAAGCTTCTGACCTCCAGGCCTCTGGAATTTCCACACCACTGTACCTGTGAGGGTCAGGAGAAACTCTGTATTACTCACCTCCCACCTCCCACTAGTAAGTAGCAGCTGCTTGAGGAAGATTGATTCGATACATTAGGTAAGCTCCAACATACCCCACGAGGAGGTCACAAGACAAACAGCCCCTGCCACGAGCTTCCATCCCACCACCCAGTATTTCTATTACACTTGGGCCACAGTCACGGTAGATGAGTTTGGATGTACTTCATTTCCTGCCTTATACAATAAACTTGTCAGTATTTGACGGATCAGCACTTGCATTCGGGGAGTTCATTTGCAAGGGCCACCTGGCTTCCCAGCTCTGCTGTCCTGCTCCCATTTCATCTTGCCTAATGAGCCAGGGCCTGGTTCCTGGTGAGTGGTGCTGAGCTTCTGGGCCAGACATGGCCAGCATTTGATAGCAAGGCCTCGGCCCCTCAGGGATCCTTCTCATCCGTCTGAAGGAGGTCAAGCTACTAGCATGGAGAGGAGCTGCAAGCTTGTGCTGCGCAGCTAGGAGGAGCATGCCAAGCTTTCACTCTCCCAACAGGAGGTTGGATTAGGCTTGCTGCAGCTTCCTGCTGGACAAGCTTGCTATGGGTGTCTGCAACTCTGGTTTGGGCTTGCTTCTAAGAAACTCTGGTTACGGAAGATACAAAGCCAGACTTTCAGTGCTCACTAAAAAACAGAGAAAAGAAATGACATAAAGCATTTGAGCTGCCTGTGGCCCCTCCATAGCCAGCAGGGTCTCATTCTTCTCATGTTCCTAGGCATCCCTGACTCTACTATAACAACATAGCTTTGGCGCAGGACCCTTCAGTGAGTGACTCTTGTGAGAACTCCTCATTCCCAAGTCTGACCTTCTTGACGCTCTGCTCTCAACCTGTACTTGGGCTTACATGACTGGAACAAACCCAGTCTTTTCCAGTTACTGGGCAATTATTATCAAACCTCGTGTTTAAGTAAGATCTTGGAAATGGCCTACAGTCAGGCTATTTATTTTCTTTTCTCCTCGCCTGCAAATGGGACATGATAATGTTACCAGTCTCCTATTACAGTAGGCATGCTTAAATTGGCACCTGGCATATAGCAGGTACTCAGCAAAGACGGATCATCACCTCACAGCATCATGGTCATCTGGCCTCATCCCAATCCTAGAATTTTTACACTTAAGTTGGAGCCTATTGGTTTACACACAAGTTCTGCCCACAAGCTGGAGGCTGTTTCCAGCCCTCCCTCCATCCTGGCTATTATCTCCTTCCTACATGCCTCTCCTTCCCCCTCCACTATCTGAATCTGACACTGGTCTGGCCAAGCATACCTCCCCATGCTCTGAAGGCATTGTCTATACTGGGAGTCTAAAGGGACTCCCAGGCATAGCACACCATCTAAAGCTTAGCACCATAGCCATCTTCAGGGATTCATGCTGGAGAAAAGAGAGGCAGGGTGTGGCGAACCCTATGGTGGAAGAGGACCCATCCTGTTCTGCATGACAGCCAGAACCTGGAAGATTTAGGATGGCAGACGGGGAAGGGTGGCATAGCCTGGCGCTCTGGACTTGCACGGTGTGGAGGAAGGTGGGAAGAGTGGCCAGGAGTACTTGCTACTTCTCTATACGGTGGCTTCCTGGAAGTAAAGGGAGGGATCTGAGCCTGTGTGCCCTCCTGTGCTCTGAAGGCACTGGCTAGCCTGGGAGCCCAAAGCCCACCCCACCCCTGTCCCTGCTGCCACAGAGCACACAGTGCAAAGCTAAACACCATGGCCATCTTGCAGCCACAAAGACAAGGGGGCAAGAAAGCCTCTAGATTTTATTGGAAGAATTTAGACTTTTGCTTGCTTCTAGCTGAGAGGAGGCTGGAAGTTGCAGCCATAACCAGTAGCCCGTGTGCCAAGCTAAAGGCAGGGCCCTCTGAGTAAAGGGAACAGGAGCTGTAGGATACAGGCGGCGACCCCTGCCACAGAGTGCATGATGGTGCCTAATGCCACATCCCAAATCTGCTGTGCACAGAGCACTCTTGCCCTGCCCAGAGGCTAAGGGTACCTGTCTCCATCCGGTCACTGAATCCAGCTCTAAGCTCAGAGTCCCCAGGCCATGCTCAGTCCTCTTCTCTGGCTCTTGAAGTAACTCCTTGGAATTTTAGGTCAAAGTCATGAAGTTCGGGCTTATGGTGAACTTAAAATTTTGACAAACTTTAAAGCAAACGATGAGTTAGTACACCCATAGCCAGCATGGAATGGCAGAGAAAGTGACCACATCCAGAAAGCCCTGTGTTTGGAAGAAGGAAAAACATGGCAGCAGTAGCAGGTGCCCAGGATCAGTGCCACCTGCCGAGTGGGCTCGCCAATCGCTTGAGGAATGTTAGATAGAGGCTTTGTGTTAGGACAGGATAAGCTGTAGGCCAGGATGGGCCCCCAGTTGACATCTGTCCTGCACAACCAGTGGCTTCTAGCCTATTTGCTCTGATAAGTGAGTTCTGTGTGCCTTAACCAGCCCCAGCTAGCTCACTAAGGAACATGGTCAGCTGTAGCCTTGCCCATCCCCCCTGCAACTCAGACTCTGAACCAACAACCTCGGGGTGGAGGGGGGTAATGGATGACAAGCAACCCCTTTCCTTCAGATTTCGAGTGGGATTGTCTAATTAAAATTTTTTTCAGGAACAAATTTAAGTACCTGGAAAAATAATCAGAGTCGATGATCAGTATGTACAGCTACGGTAACAACTGTGCCGGAGAGAGGGTGCTGTCAGACAAGGGAGTGGGATCCTGGACAGGACTGAGAACTGAAGCATCCCCCTTTGTTGGGGCAGACAGGACCAGTGGCTTCAGAGTCGGTGAAGCACTGGGCACTGCTAGGTTTCAGCATTCTTCCAGAGAGCCGTGGGGGGAGACCAGAGGCTCAGGACCATGCATCTGACTGCATGGCCCTGTCAAGGCTGCCTGCAGCATGTGGGACTCTATAGGCACCCCAGTCCTGAGGCCGCTCTCTCACCTGTCCCACAGACTCCACCAACCGGGACTCCCTGGACATGATTGAGCGCTGCATCTGCCTGGTGTGCCTGGATGTTGCCGGTCCTGGGGATCTCAGTGACACCCACAGGGCGCTCCAGCTCCTTCATGGCGGAGGCTGTAGCTTGAATGGAGCCAATCGCTGGTATGACAAGTCCCTGCAGGTAAGTGCCTTCCTTGTCTGTGGCCCTGCAACTGTGTAGCGTCTTGTGGGCTTGGCCACCAGCACATGATCTTGTGGTCTTCTATCACTCAGACTGTACTAGTGTTGTCATCTCTAAACTAGCCAGAGATCTTCCCAGAAGCCGTGTGGTTGAACCCAACTGAGACTCTCTGGATGTCCTGCTAATGTGTTAGAAGAGCTTGGTCCCACCATTATCACACTCTGGGGTGGAAAAGGGCCACGCATTCACCCACTAAGTACTCAACAGAGAACAAAACAGGATGACTCAGGTCTGACCAGAGATGCCAGCTTTTCTGAATGTCCACCACCTAACTTGACTATTTCAGCACATGCTGAGAAGCAACCGAGCACCCCCTAAATACATCCTAAGGTACAATCAGATAATCCGTAGCCTTTCATGCACACGCATCAGGATAACACCTTATGTCGGTTTAGAGGAAAACACCCATGCAAATGGGATATGCTCTAGGTTGGCCATTCATTTCAGACCTTTACCCCTGCCCCACACCCTGCAACCCCATGACATGTCAAAACCTAATACAATCTTGTTTATTTACAATGCCACCACACTCTCACAGTGGCCATAAAAGCAAGTTAACCATCTCTCTGGGTTGGGACAGCCCACCTCCATAAGCATTTCCCAGAAGTATCTCATTTTCTCCTCTCTCCATCCCTGAGTTTCAAGGGTTATTTTCTTTATTGGTTTGCATGGTAATTCTGTCCTTTCTGATGAGTCTGTCACTACTGTGCTGGCTGTTTAGCCTTCACAGTGGTGCTAACGGCTTAGAATCATTCACAGAGCAGTGGTGGGAATGAAATGATATAATGGATGTACAGGACACAGAGCATAGTAAGCGTTGGGAACAGTTTTTCAAAGACCCATTTTCCTCCCTTCCTATAAGTGACAGGGACAGAGAGGCACTCATAGGGAGTGGGCACAGGTTCCCTATTGTGTAGACAGGACAGAAAATAGATGAGCCAGGGGTGCTACTGAGGAGTCACGGACCTGAATTTTGAAGGATTGAAGGCGAACCTCTGCATGGAAAGAAAGAGATTCCTGGTCAAGGGAAAGAGAGAAAGATGTACACTAAAGATGCTCTGTGGGTGTGTGACTGTTTGTTGGCTACATTACTGGAATACACTGAGATTCCAGTGTCTGGCACAGATAACAGGCTAAGACTGGGGGAAGGCATGGGAAGAGGCAGCTCAAAGTGTGTGTGTGTGCGTGCAGTCCCGAGAAGTGCTTTCAGTAAACACCGTAAGAGCTCCTCATTTACCCAGGGCAGTCTGAGTGTGAGGAACTCAGAGTGGCCCCACTTCTCGTGGGATGCACCTCAAGAGTCAAGCCTTGTCCTTCCCATTCTTTTCTCTCAATACTTTTGAGCCCTGGGACTATTCCTTCCCCAAGTCAGTTCACTGTTGTCTGTAGAACTATGTAAAGGGCCCAAAGAACCTTACAGCATCTGTGGACCCTCCCTGCCTCTCTAATCTTCATCTCAGTCCTGTGAGCTGCTCTGCGGGGCTAGTTTAAATGAGTCATGGCTAGAGGCTAGAAGAGTCTGGTGGATGCTTCCTCCATAACCAGACATGACAGCAGACTGAGAGGCAGTGACTAACAGAACATTCTCCCCACACCTTTCCTGCCAAGGAACCTCTCTACAAATCCTCTTACCAACCAAATCACATTGTTATTTCTTATTCATTCATACAACTCAATTACCCGGCAGCTGCTCTGGGATGGATGCTGGTCTAGATCCTGGGAATAAAATCAATGGTGGCCCAAAGAAGCAGTCAGTCCATTAGGCAAATGGTTACACAAAGCAGTCAAAGAATGGTGTCTGCTGTGCATGCAATTAAGGACAAACAGGAGTGAGCATCCATTCAGCCCTACTGTGCATCAGACAGTATGAGCTCACTAAGAACTTTGCACTGCCACAGTTGGGAACTTGGGCTGCCCCTTCACTGACGGGAGCCCTATTGGAGCTTCTTTAACATTTCCACATTCTCAGGTGTCTGCAGCCACCTGCAGCATCCTAGGCAGGAATCAGTCACACTTACATCCTTGGAGGAGAAATGCCCCCACAAGGTCAAGTGGTCCTAACCCAGGGCCAGAGCCTACTTTGAGATGCTGCTGCCAGGGTTGGCTCACCTGCCTCTTCCCTGTTACAGTTTGTGGTGGGCCAGGATGGCACCTGCGGTGTGGTGTGTGAGCACTCCCCATTTGACGGCATCGTCCTGGTACAGTGCACGGAGCACCTGCTGAAACATATGTGAGTCTGGGTGAGAGCAGAGGAGGACTTCAGAGGGCTGCCATGAAAAGCCAGGGGGTACTAGGGTGTCAGTCCAGAAAGTGGTTGAGCCAAAGATGAATTTGGAAAGAAGCCCCAAGACCGCAGAAGAGCTTTTTGAACCATAGGTGGGAGGTACAGATCTGGCAGAAACTCAGGGCAGACAGGAGAATCTGGGGGTCCAAGCTTTGATCTAGGGAAGCTCAGATCAATCTTTGTTGTTGGGCCTGAGACCACCAACAGACACCTGGTAGCCCAGCACAGAGGGAGGTCTCCTCCATCACAGACTAATTCCCCAGCCTGGCAAGGGCGAAACTTGCTTTTCTGTTCCGTAAGCATGCTGTATGCCTTCTAGCTTTTATGGTTTTACTCATTCTCTTAGTATCTCCTCCATGCATATAGGTTCTCTGTCACTTCCACAGTCTTTAGAGTGGCTGAGACACAAACCAGCCTTCGGAGACAGAGCAACTCAGCTCGCTACCACATTTCCAAGTCTTCTACAAGTACAGCCTGAACATGGTTTAACACTAGGACACACATGAGCAAATGGTGCACTTTGGAGCCAGATGGAAGTGGTGGGAATCTTGGCTCTGCCCCTCACTGAGTTTGATCTACCTGCTGAGTGCTTCTGTGGGCAGCTCAGGCTCCCTAAAGTTCACACTTAGCTGCACACCAGCAGCTAAGATAATCGAACAGGAAAGCATTGTTGCCCACAGCCCCAGGTTGCAGAGTCTCAGGAGGTTGTCCCTTTGTGTCTGCAGGATGAAGGGCAACAAGAAGCTGGTCCAAGCTGACTCAGTGAGTGAGCTCCCTGCCCCCAGGAGGCTGAGGTGGAAATGTTCCCCAGAAACTCAAGGCCACCTTGCTGCCTCGGCAGAGAAACTTCAAAGGTGAGGGGAACCCTGAGTTTCCTTTAGGGGCCCATTGTGCCCTCTCAAGAGTTGATGAAGCACTCTGAATGATTCCAAAGGCCATTGGGACTCTGCTCCCTTCCCTGCTCCCTTCTCACCCCCCACTGGAAAAGCAGCACGATGAAAGAGAGTCATGGCTCCCAGGAAGTAACCTTGCTCAGATATCCACCATTTCCATAAAATGCAAACCCGAAGCTATTTTTTTCCTGCAGGTTTCACCTGACTAAGCAGAGTCAAGGCTGGGAAATGATGCCCTGCTTTGAGGGAGTAACAAACAACTGCTTTGAATAGCTCATTTGAATCCAAGCTATTTCAATTTGCTTGACTTTACACTGCAACCTGATGAGGGGGCCTCTTTCCCAGGGGAGGGGCTGGTTCGGGCTGTGACAGACGAGGCAAGCAGAAGGGCTGGATCTGAACTGTCATTGTCAATCGCTTCAGGAAATGAGTGTGAGAACACTCATCCACTCACTCATCACACTTGTGGAGCTCTAGTGTGTGTGCCGGGTCTGTGGGGAAGCAGAAATAAATATGGCAGACCCTAGATCAAATCATGTACGAGGCATGAAGTGTTCAAAACAGAGAGAGGCATGCAGACCCAAACCTCAAGATAGACAAGAGGTTGAAGTCTGCCTGGACAATGGGGGGGGGCCTTCTAAGGTTGACTAGCAGCTTCAGGGGCTAGCAGGCAGGGCAGTGGCTTGTTAAGCCTCTGTAGGCTCATAAAGTTCCAGGCTGGGGTGGAGACATCAAAGGAGAAGATGGCTGGAACTGGGACATGACAGAAAAGCTGTGAAAAGCCTGCCTTGCCTATGATGAGGAGCCCCTCCTCCGCAGGAGTTGTGGGGGAGCCAGTGAGGCATCTGTGGGTAGCATGGATGAGCAGGACAGCGTGGCCAAGCTGGGAAACCTAGGGTAGAGACCTTCCTCACTTGGAGCTGCTGTGGAGGCTGCCTAGCTTTAGGGAATGTAGAAGAAGTCTCCGGGTTTCCATGGAATGGTGCCAACATCTCAACTTTTATGATGGGGGCCCAACGTGGGTGGGTTGCCAGAAGAAGGAGACAGAGAAAAACAGTTGAAGGGATCTGCATATCCTCAGGGGCCTGAGCTGGTCCGCGGTGTGCTCCTAGGTCCCCAGCTTCTTCCTGACAGGGCATGATGGGTCACCTGGACTTGTACAGTCTGTGGGAGTTGGGGGGCCTAGGTGAGCAGACTGTGGGAAAGGGGTTTCTGAGTGGCCATGGTGAAAGAGAAATTTGCCCAAGGAATCTGTCAAAAGGTAGGGATCTCTCCTGTCCCAAGCAACTGCATGACTCCTAGGAGTTCAGCTTCTGTGAGGCAGGAAGACTGATTTAATGTGTGCCAGGGGGCAGCAGATGTAGTGTCCAGTCCCAGGGACAATGTAAGTGGATAGGTTACTCCTCTGGGACCTGAGACAATGGCATACACCTTTCTGGAAATGCTCTCATGACAGTCATTATAAAGGGGACACTGGTCAATATTAGGGCAGCACAGGGAAGCTTCCTGACACTCTGAGGATGAGAGGCACGTCCCGGAGACCTATCAGCTGTCACTAGATACAATGGGATTTCTGTCACAAGTAAAGCAATAGATGAGCAAAGCCCCAGCCCTCACTGAAGCTACCATGACAGTCAGTCAGATCCCAAGTCCTTCTGCCCCATAGCAAGTAGGGATGAGTATGGGTGACAGCTGGCCGAGAAAGTAACTGTTAGGACAGCTGAGAATCCACAGGGACATTGGACCCCTGCTCCTACACAGACCACATAAACAGTCTCGTTCAGCCTTGCTTTGTAGGCAGCCAGCAGTTAGGAGCCTGTGGGTGAGGCTCACCCTGCCCATGCAAATGTCTCATTTCCATGCTCCTCCCACCTCATTGCTGCAGCCAGGCCCTCCTCGCTGTAGAAGGGGCCCTCTGGGCCAGGTGCCTTCTGCCACTTGCATGGATGAAGGTAGGCTTCTGATACCCTAGGGTATTTCTGAAGGATAAAGGCTGTGCACTCACCTGCAACACTAGTACATGGACCAGGATCAGAAAGCTTGGGTGGGTTCTGCGATATAGGTAGTCTATCTTGCAGGCAAAATATCTTCTTTTTCTTCCACAGAATAGTAAAGAACCTGGATTTCATTGTTTATAAGTTTGACAACTATGGAAAAACATTTATTAAGAAGCAGAAATGCAGCCCTGATGCCTACATCCAGGTGGCCCTCCAGCTGGCCTTCTACAGGTGGGTGAAGGCAAGAGGAGCCTGTGCCCAGGTCAACCTTCAGATTGGGTGCTTTAGAGTCTAGAAGCATCCTGAAGGGAGGTGTGGTTTTCAGGGTCAGGGAAGAGGGCTGGAGCATGGCCAAAGGCAGATGCACAGAGATGTTGCCATCTGAACTAGGTTTCAGATCAGAGCCAAACTCCAGAAGGATGGTGTCATAACTGGGGTATCGCCTGAGCTGGGACTCAAAGGGGCTGCCATGTGGAAGCTAAGGAGAATCGGGTGGGTTAGGCAGAGACTGCTCTCCACCTGATTTCCTCCACATCTGAGTCCCTGTGGTGTGACTCCTACCTCCCTGGTCTTTCTATCCCTGTTCAAGACATGAAATCAATGACACCCACCCCACCCCCCCCCAAGTTAGTCTAATCAAAGACTTGGTTCTTATTGATCTGTCCCTTTATTGTACCCACATATCCCAGACATCTCCAGATGTCTCTCCAGCCTACTGTCTGTCTTCACCACCACCATCGACCCCTCTGAAACTACCAACAACCTTTGCTTGGCCAGCTGCAGCCTAGGTCCCACAGATCGCTGTCCCTCTCTGTGCCCCCTAGAGCTATGCATTCATGAAGAGTGGGCTTGGATGTATGCAAACAAGACTAACACTTACTGTCTGGTATTCCTGGGGACCACCCTTGTGACCTCCGGTAAACTCTCTGGCCTCCAGATCTTTGCCTTAGGTGTGAATCCTCACCTGTCACCTCCAACTGAAGTGTCACCTTTCAGAGAACTGTCTGGAGATGCTCTCTAAACAGAAGCAACCATCTTGGGCTCTGTTGTCCCACCAGGAACTCACTCCTACAAAGGCAGTAAGACACAGGGCTACAACTTAGGTGACACTGGGCTTTCACTGGCGTTAACTTGGTCTTTTCTTCTTCCTTATTATCAGCTCCATGAACGTTACTGGCTGATGGGAAGTGAGAATTCTGCTGGTCAGGAAGCAAGCCTAGAGGTGTTCACCTGGTTTCCATGCACAGGGAGAAAGGCTTTGCAGCTATCAGCATACACTCTGCCAGAAAGGCCAGGGGACTAAAACAATGTGTGGGGTTCCCAACACCATTTTTCCCATGAGATACACTTTGACGTGCTTGTGGGCCTGGACATCTGTCCGCACTCTTCACCTGCTTTGACGAGCAGTCGTGCTGAGCCACTTAAAATAAAGCAGGTTTTCCTGAAACCTGCACATGATGAATTGCACTTTCATCTGACGCTTTGATATTAACCAACACTCATTAGGGCTCACAGAGAATCCCAGGTTGCCCTACAGATTAGTGGTGTTTTGTTTTTCAAAAACAACCAGTCACCTCTTCATTTTATATCAACACAATGTCCCCAGTGTGTAAAAGTGTGCATGGCTCTTCACATCAAAGACTTTCCAGCATCCATCTTTGGAACTCTCCTCTAGAATTCTATTAACATTAAAATGAAATACTATGCCACGTCATGTCAGAGCTATGAAAATAAAGCCTGCTGGGGCTATTTTTCTTCCAGTATTTATGCCTCCCTGAGAACAAATTACTGTTTGCCATCCATCTTTTATCTTGTTCAGGCTTTATCAGAGACTGGTGCCCACCTATGAGAGCGCATCCATTCGCCGGTTCAGGGAAGGTCGGGTGGACAACATCAGATCGGCCACTCCAGAGGCTCTGGCTTTTGTGCAAGCCATGACTGACCACAAGGCTGCCATGCTGGTAAATCCCATTCTGCCTTAAGGAGCCACAAGGAGGCCAGTGAGGCTGCTGTGGCTGCCTGTGCATTTTGGTCCATGACATGACGCGATTCTCTGGCTCTGGCTGCTCTTATATCCCCTCCTTTGTTCACAGGCTTGTGAGAAACTGCAGCTGCTGAAGTCAGCCATCCAAGCCCAGACTGAGTACACAGTCATGGTGAGTGGTGGTGCCTCCCTGACACCAGGGGCCCAGCGACTCGGCAAGGCCACCGGCCTGTAGTTTTGTTTATTTTTGTGGCAGGCACCAGGGATAGAATCTGAAGTCTTACACATGCTAGACAAGTGCTACAGCACTAAGCTATATGCCAAGTCCTTCCCTCTTTTCACTTTTCATTTTGAGACAGTCTCATTATGTTGCCCAGGCTAGTCTTGAATTCACTTTTAGCTCAGGTTGGCCTTCAATGTGGGATCCTCTTACTTCAGTCTCTCAAGTGGCTGGGATTGGTTACAGGCTTCTACCACTGCATGGGTCCTCTTATTTCTACAGCATCGGCAGTGCGTTTGTCCTGCCTACCCCAGGTTCCACCAGAGAAAGCAAGTGGTGTTTGAAGTCTGTCTATAACCATAATGGTAATAATAGTTCACACTACTGTGGTACTTTATAGTTTACAAGAACTATCAAATTGGGGTGGGGTCAGGCAGCCTGATGAATACTGGTAGCTTGGTCCCTGGCACACTGGAAAAGAGTCACAATTCATTATTACCCAGGGCTGAGCTTCCCTCTTGTTCATTCATGCTGCCTGTGAACTGAAGGTCTTTGCTGAAAATTAGTAGTGAAATCAAAATTGTATGGGGACTACTTCTCTAGTTGGAGGGAAATTTTTATTTTTTTTTTAATATTGCAAAGCCATCGTTTACATGCAAACAATGGGGAACTTGAGCTAGTGATCAATATGTTAATTATAGAACACTCGAAAACAACCAGAAGGATACTCAAATCTATGAGAAGGATTGATGAAATTTTTCTCTAACTTGAAAGCAAATACAACATATTTCTGGGTTTTAGAACTCACCAGTGTAGACTTTGCTATAACTGGTCCCTAATTCATCTTAATACCTATGTTTGTTCTGTTTAAGCACTGCATTAGCCTGTGCTCCAAGTACTCAGGAGCCTGAGGCAGGAGGATCACAAGTTCAAGCCCGGCCTGGTATATGAGTGAGAGACTCTTGTCTCAAAATCTCACTTTTGCCAGGTGATAGTGTCACTCACCTTTAATCCCAGCACTCATGAGGCAGAGGCAGGCAGATCTCTATGAGTCTGAGGCCAGACTGGTCTACAAAGTGAGTGCCAGGACAGACTCCAAAGCTTCAGATGCATGAGCCTTTGAAAACACATCAGATCCAAACTCCAGCAAGTGCCCTCCCTGTATCCCATGAATTACTCTTGTTCCTGCTTCATGCAAAGTGCTGCATACGGGAAACAACCTAAGTGCTGTCAGTAGGGAATTTAACATGGAGTTGGGGTGGAGGTGCTTCAAAGTGATATCAAACCCACATTAGGAGAGTCCTGAGAAATTACACAGAACGTGGAAGAGCAAGATGTCTCCTCTCCTTTGAAAAGCTGAAATGAATTTCCAGAAGAAGCAGTCTTGAATGTGGGGTGGGAAGGACTAAGAAAGGGAAGGAAGCCCCAGTTGGTGGTTCACGCCTTTAATCCCAGTATGCAGAGGCAGAGGCAGGTGGATCTCTGTGAGTTCAAGGTCAGCCTGGTCTATAGAGTGAGTTCCAGGACAGCCAGGACTAGGACTACACAGAGAAACCCTGCCTCAAACAATACAAAACAAAACAAAATGGGAAGGAAGGGCAAGGAGAGAGCAGCATTTGCAAAGGCAAGTGTCTTGTGAATATGATGCATCTGATGAAAAGAGCAGCTCGGTGTGTGCAGCTTGCAAAGGACTGAGCAACAGGAGAGCTGGACTGTCTGTTATACCAGTGTGGGACAAAAGAAGGACAAGTTGCATTGTAGGAATGGCTTGGCAAGCAGAAGCTGCACGATATTGGAGAAAGCTGGTGTATGGACTGTGTGGTACTAGAGAAAGCTGGTGTATAGACTGTGTGGCACTGGAGAAAGCTAGTGTGAGCAGGGTCAAAGGAATGGAGAGGAATACTTTTGATTCAACGTGGCATGTTGAACATAGGAGTTGAATGTCCCCACTCTGAAATTCTCCAGAACACTCAGAGGTATTTTAAGCCATACACATAGGAAAGAGAATTGGAGAAAAGGTGACAGCAAAGACGTAAGAGCTGGAAAGTAGAATATATAGCAGCTGGCTAAAGGCACAGGCAAAGAAGCAGAAACCCACCAAACTGCATGACAGCAACTAAGGTAGCTCAGAGACCAGGGATGCACCGAAAGTAGGGTTGTGTGAAAGAAGAGGTTGGTTGATGGGATTTTTGTTTGGCTTGCTATAATAGAATCCCTTGTACTGGGTAATTTACAAAGAACCAGGATTTCCCACACTTCTGAAATCTGGGAGTCCAAGATCACAGGGTCAGCCAGTGAGGTTGTTGGCCCCTGCTTCCAAGATAATGCCTGCTGCTGCATCCTCCAGAGTGGAAGGATGTGCTATGCTCATGTGGTGAAGGTAGAAGGCAAAAGGCTGGAAGCTCTGTGAAGTCTCTCTCATAGGAGCCTTAACAAGGACAGAGCCCCAGGGACTAACCCCTTGTAAAAGCATGGCCTCTTAATGTATTTCATTGACTAGTAACTTTCACAATTTCTTATTTAATAAGAACCGGGAAACCCTAAAAAAAATACTATCAAGAAATAAAGATAGTTTCAAGTAGAATATAATAGAAAATTTCAATGGAAATATTGGGAGAGACAATATTTGTGCTTTAAACACAAACAAAAAATGGGTGACACACAAGAAAGATGGGGTGGCTTAGTTGGGGTGAGCAGTATGCAGGAACCATCAACAAAGTAACTCAGGGAAAATATTAAAAGATGATTCAGTGGCAGAGAGCTTGCCTAGCAGGCATAAAGCCCTGTGTACTATCCCCAAGCACTAACAAAAATAAAGATTCTTTAAAACTGCAGAAAAATTTTCTACATTGAGGGAATTGACTAAGCATCTTACATAATAGAAAATTCTCATACCAAGGCAATTTCATGACACTACAGACAAAGAGAAGATCCTACGTTTCTCAGAGGAAAAGAAAAAAAGGTCATAAAGATGGAACGGATCATCAGAAGGTACATGACAGTGGAGCAATGCCTTCAGATTCTAAGGAAAAACTATCTTCAACACACTTTCCATACCTAGCTAAACTGTCATTAGATTTGTAGGCAGAATAAAGACATTTTAGACAGAATTTTGTATTTCACGTATTAAGTACTAAGTAATCTTTCTTACAAAACTGCTAAAGGCTACATGTCTCTAAAGTGAGAAAATCAAACATAAAAGCTAATAAAACTAGAAGATTCAACATATACAAACAAAAATGAAGAAGACTCCCCAAGATGATAATAAAAGGAGACAAGAAGTCAAAGCTACTTAGTCGATCTAGAGAGTACATACAGGAGGGATAGTAAAAGGATAAATGAAATGATGGCCGCATTTAAGAACTAACTAGAAGAAGATACATAAAAAGAAAAAAGAATTAAATGATTACCAATTAAAGGGAGGGAAAAACTTAATAAGAAAGGAAATCTATGTCTGGGAACATAGCTAAGTTGGTAGAGCACTTGTCTAACACGTAACAGGCCCTGGGTTCTAATCTAACTTATGCTACAAGACCCAGCTGTGAATGTTTGCATAATGACCTCATCTAAGCATTCTCTGCTTCGAAATCAACAAAGAGTTAAACTATGACTCTACTGGAAAGACTGAGCAGTAGAAGTAGGTAGAGTAAGCAGAAGCTAATGTTTTATTTCTTTTTTGTTTGTTTGTTTGTTTTTTGAGACAGCATTTCTCTGTATAGCCCTGGCTGTCCTGGAACTCTCTTTGTAGACCAAGCTGGTCTTGAACTCACAGAGATCCACCTGCCTCTGCCTCCCGAGTGCTGGGATTAAAGATGTGTGCCACCACCACCAGGCTGTTTTATTTCTTATACCATGAAGTGTTACAATAACTCTTTCCCGCCAGCCTGGTTCCATAACCACATCAGCCCCAAATGAACATTCAAAGACTTATAATACTGTTGGCCACTGGCTTGGGCTTCTTATTGGCTAGCTCTGTCTTAACTACTAACCCATTTCTATTAACCTAAGTATTTCCACATGGTCTTCTCTTACCAGAGAAAGCTCTGGGCACTTGTTACTCCTCTGGCATCATACATGGTGACTGTTCTCTGCCTACCTTCCAGAATCTTCCTTGTCTCCTAATCCCACCTGTCATTCTGCCTCATTGGCCAAACAGTGCTTTATTCATTAACCAATAAAAGAAACATATTTATGGAATGACATCTCCCATCAATGAAGTTTTTAAGTAAGTCTGGAAAATGCAGTCGCTGTATTCTTAAGCACGAATTCAGGGCAATAAACATAACATCAGAAAGGGCAGATAAAAGGCCTTATCCCTGTAGGGTTGGAATCAGACAAAAGTAACTGAATCAGGAGTGGGCAGTAGAGAGAGGAGAGCTAGGAGGGCAGCTGGCCAGTGGCACCAATACTCAGTCAGCCATGAGAACAGGGGAATGGCACCGGAAACAAGAGCCTCCCAAAGCCAAGTGTATTTGATAGAGATAGAAGGAAAGATCCCCTCCCCATCCTCGCCCTCTCTCTACTCCCTGTCTCTCAACACTCCTCCTGCCCAGCCTTTATTTCAGTTTATAGCTACATGCAGGTCACATGCAGGTGACTACCCACCTACTCTGCTCTCTGCCTTCCATGGTAGCATCATCAGACATACAGTAGCTCCTCCATGTCCTAGAGGGAGGACTGAACCAGGAGTCCTTGTACTCATTGCTACTTGCCACTCTAAACAATGGTTTGTTTAGTTCCTCTTGTCACATTTCATTGACAAGAGCAGAATGGTCAGGCTGCTTTACAGAACACCTCCCTCTGTGGACCTTCACAAATGAAAAGACAGATATCACCAGAGAAACTGAGAGGGTTTACTATTGCAGTACTTCTATGTCCCAACAGGACATATAAAAAATAAACCGTGGGACCTGGCTACAGCTCCTCCATGGTAGAGCACTCGTTTAGCCTATGAGAGGCCCTCGATTCCATCTCCAGCACCACCCTACATAAATAAATTACTTAGGAATAAAGTTAGCTGAAGTTTTGTAACTTGTCTTTCAGACTATAATTAGATGCCTTCAGAGAGACCAGAGCCTGTGCATCATCTTTATGCGTTGTTCTCAACTGAAGGACAGGAGCTGTCAGAAGCGAATACGTGCCTTGTAAACTCAAGCAAAGTTCGCTGGGAAAGGGCAGTTTCTGTCCACGACAACTAAATGGCCACCACACATAGGAAACCTCGAAAGTTTAATTACACTGGTGGTGATTTATTGGTACAGGATAGGAGGAGTCCCCCATTCCCCACTTCCTCAATTACCCTAGTAAACACATAATCACAAACAAAATGCAAACAAAAGGGTACAGATGCTATTCACCCTGCTTCAAGGTGAGGAGACCTAGAACAATGTCCTGGCTCCACTTCCAGTCCTGAGGCCTCTCCACAGGCCATCCTGATTTCCCCCTCTTCCATCCATCCAGTGAACTGAGAAGAGTTCAACTATCTCTGAGGGGGGGGGGAGGAAGAGAGAGGGAGGAAGAGGGAGGGAGAGGGAGGGAAGGAGGAAAAGAAAGGGAGAGAAAGGGAGGGAGAGCAAAAGAGGGATGGAGGAAGGGAGAGACAGAGAGAGAAAGCTGGGAGGTGGTGGTATGCACCTTTAATCCCTGCACTTGGGAGACAGAGGCAGGCAGATCTCTGAGTTCCAGGACAGCCAGGGTTATACAGAGAAGCTCTGTCTTAAAAAAAAAAAAAAAACATGCGCACATGTGCACGCGTGCGCACACATACACACACACACACGCGCGCGCGAGCACACACACATACACACACACGCGAGCACACACACAGACACACGCACACACATGCACACATACACACAGAGACACACGCGAGCACACACAAGACACACGCGCGCGCACACACGTGTGCGCACACACACAGACACGCACACACACAGACACACACAGACACACACGCGCACACACAGAGACACACACGCGAGCACACACACAGACACACACACACAGACACACGCGCACACACACACACACAGAGACACACACACAGACACACACGTGCACACACACACACAGAGACACACAAGCGAGCACACACACAGACACACACATAGAGACACACACGCGAGCACACACACAGACACACACACGCACACACACACACAGAGTCCACATCATCCAGCTAGCACTTTCACCTTTAACATCAGCCGAGCTTTAGATCAGCAGTCTACTTCCTGACTTAATTTCTGAGATTATGAATAGAATTTAACTGAGTCCACACATAGCCCCTACTGGGACATGAACCCTGTCCCAGCTTTGTGCTTGAGGACGAAGAATTAGTTATGGTGTGATTCTAGCCCTGACAGTTTGGACACCTCTCCCCTATGCCTGGACCCAACACATGAGCCAGGCTTCTCCCACATACTCTTTCCCTGGCCAGAGCAGGTTGGTGCTGGGATAGGCGGGCTCACACATTCTTCTGTTGGAGTAGCATGTGCATGCAGCTGTGTAGTGGCAATGGCCTCACCTACCTGTCATCTTGACATTCATACGGTAGATCCCGGCCTTCTCTGCACACAGCTTGAGTGTGTAGCAGTATGCAGGAGCCCAGGAACAGAGGCTGCATAATAAAGCAGTCAGCCTTAGCAGATGCTCACATAGCCTGTCTATCCAGAACAGTTTAAGCTGCTGGAGTCACCACTGGCCTTGGACTGCACGTCTCATTGTCTTCTGTGTTCCTGACCCTCAGGCCATAACTGGCATGGCCATTGACAACCACCTGCTGGCACTGAGGGAGCTGGCCCGGGACCTGTGCAAGGAGCCGCCTGAGATATTCATGGATGAAACATACCTGATGAGCAACCGGTTCGTCCTCTCCACCAGCCAGGTACAGCCTCTGTGTATGTGGCCAGGGCCTCACAGTAGAAACAAGGAGTTTCTGAAGACATTAATGAGTTGGAATCTGTCTTTGTCTCTGCTTTTTTAAACACACACACTCTCTTGTATGAATATATTTGCCTATATTTCATATTTGCTAATTATGCAAAAATAATTATACATACTTACAGGGTACAGTGTATGCTGAATTATCTGCATGCAATGGGTAGCAGTCAGATCAGCCTAATTGGTATATCTATCAACTTGGCCATTTAGAGAACATTCAAAGTCCTTTCCACTAGCTACTATGAAATATTTAAGTTATTGTCAACTATACCCTTCCAACTGTGCCATCAGACGCTGAAGTCGACAATGTCCTCCTCACTCAACCCCACCTCCAGGCTCTTCTTTAAGAAGTTTTATCTTTACTTATGTGTTTCTCTCTCTCTCTCTCTCTCTCTCTCTCTCTCTCTCTCTCTCTCTGTGTGTGTGTGTGTGTGTGTGTGTGTGTGTGTGTTTCTCTGTGAGTGTACCCTCTGTGTCTATTGGTGCCCTCAGAGGCTATAAGAGGGTATCGGATCCCCTGGAGCTAAAGTTAAAGGCAGTTGTGAGCTGGCTGCTATAAGTATGGGGATTTAACTTGGGTCTTCTGGAAGAGCTATAAGCTCTTTTAACCACTGAGTCATCTCTCTAGCCCCAGGCTCTGCTTTTTTCTTTATTTTCTTTATTTATTTATTTTGATTTTTTTTTTTTTTTTGAGACAGAGTTTCTCTATGTAGCTTTGTAGACCAGACGGGCCTTGAACTCACAGAGATCTGCCTGTGGGATTAAAGGCATGCACCACCACTGCCCAGCTTTCTTCTGAAGAGTTTTGTCACCTACAGTACAATGATCTAAATGTTTGGGGAATTGATATTCTCCTAGCTTCTAAGTAGGAATGATAACAGGCTCCCTTAGCCAAGGCAGACAGGCTGAGAACACATCGATCTGAGGGTTCTAAGTATCATGCCTTGCTGTCTTGCCATCTGCTGCATGTGACTTGTGTTCCCCTGTAGAGGACCCTAGGACCCGAAGCCTGACAGGCCTGGTTGGAAGTTCCCCAGTTAGGTCAGGAGGATTATGATAATGAATGGTCAGGCCACCAATGGCAGAAAATCAATTGTCAACCCAACATTTCCCACCTGGTGCTGTACATATGCCGACCGTGTTAAAGGACCACAACCACAGAGACAGAATGGCATTCATTAGGGGGAAGCTGCAGGGGAGGGGAGGACACACCTAAACATGACAGCCTCCTGAAAGTTACCTCCTCTGCAAACCATTGGACGTGGGCAGCAAAGGGGGCCGACAAAGCTATGTTTGAGGATAAAAGCCCACTCAGTAATTTAATTTTGTCATTACAGCAGTGAGCTCAAAGACATGAATAAATGGGACTAGAATACTACAACATAAATTCTTCAGGAAACCATCCATGGGCATAGAGTGCTCTGGAATGGTTTTATGGCCTCCAGCCATTGTATGGCAAATTTATCTGACAATGCTGTGACTCTATTAGCAAGACTAATGGCTTGTTCTGCCCCATTAAAATGGCCAGTGTCGTTTCAGAAGGCCCGAGAACACAGCACCAGAAACCTGTGGACTGAAAACAGACCCTGGCCCACACTACACTGGCCTGAGAATCCTTTCTACTTATCCCTAAACCAGCAGATAAAATGAGTTTGGAGTGTGAGTCGTTTAGCCCTTTCCCACTGAAAGTGGCATTTATGGCTCGCGTTTTCAGAGACACGCTTTCTCCTTTTGCGATCTGGATTGAGAAGCCCCAGCCCTCTAAATTCCAAACATCTTAGATGATTAACTAAAATTCCAGGTGACAGCAGGCTTGGAGGTGCCCGGTGCTGAGTAATTGTGCATGGGTGGGCCTTGGGGAGGGAATCAGACCAGCCAGGCGGTACTGACAGTAATTAAGGATCTGGGGGAAATCAACAGAGAAGATGGGCCAGATTTCCTCCAGTTCATAAATTACTCCCTGTGGGAAGCCATCTAATGGTTGGGTGCCACCAGGGTGCCGTTTAGTAAATTAGCCTGATTGCCACAGTGCCTCAAATGGCCCCTAGATGAAGGAAAGTCTTGGCTCAAGCCAGAGCAGCAGGTCACCCTGGGAGCTTCCAGCTCCACAAGCGGAGCTAATTGCACAATGGGGAGTGGGTTGGGGTCTCTCTCCCTCGACGCCATGCACCTTGACGGGCTCATCTTTATTACTGTAGCTATGTCCTTTCATTCATGGCAACACAACTCAGTCTGGTCAAATCCAGGATGAGGAGACAGACGGGAACAAATGCCATGGAGGTCTTAGGATATAAGGATTCACCCACCATGTTCTAGCAGGTTCCAGGCTGTCAGGATAGGTTGCTTCTGACCTACGCTCTTCTCCAGGTGCCCACAACCATGGAGATGTTCTGCTGTTACGGTCCCGTGGTCCCCAATGGGTATGGGGCCTGCTACAACCCTCAGCCTGAGGCTATCGTCTTCTGCATCTCCAGCTTTAACAGCTGTAAAGAGACCTCTTCTGTGGAGTTTGCAGAAGCCGTGGGAGCGAGCCTTGTTGAGATGAGAGATCTCTGCAGTTCGTGGCAGCCTGCTGAGGGCAAGCCACCAGCAACAAAGGAGAAAGCTAAAGGCCCACCCAGGGCAAACAATCTTGACTCCTGCCACTAGCCTGACCTCCTGCAGGAGCCAGACCCTACCAAGCCCTGCTTCCCATCCCCACCCCAGCCTTTTGTTGCTTCCCTACCCCCAAACCACAGACTGTGTGGGGAGGCATCACACAAAGCTGGCATGTTAGGAAAATGAGTCCCTCGTTATTTATCAAGGCAGCCTTGGGCCTTTACAACTGGAACAGAGACTAGCCCAGCTTGGAAGCAGCCTGGGTAGGCTTGGACCCTCCTCTAGGATCTTCAAGAACGGAATATTCATGCTTCTTTGCCAGCAGCACCCAGTGGTGCACATGGTAGCTCTGCCTAATGAGAGGATGAATCGTCTCATCGCATGTTATGGACCCAAATAAGTCAGGCTAGCAATGCATCATTACCTGCCACTGTCCCTCCATAGGGAGAAAGGACACTCACATACACACATACAGCCCAAGCTCAATTAAAACACTGTGGCCCACACCCCCCAAGACACATCTTTCATCTTCCATAACAGTCTTCCCTAAGTTCGGATAATCTATTCCAGATATTCAGGAAAAAAAAAAGAAAGAAAGAAAGAAGAAGAAGAAACCCACCATTTTCTTCATTTGATAATGGCGGGAACTAAGTCTGAGGGCAAGGCTGTGAAGATTAAAGCTTGGGTTGTGGGAGAAGGGATGCATGATAGCACTGGTGCCCCCTTTGGGATGACACTGCCCAACAGACATTGTTTGAGTGATTTTTCTCTTAAACTATTTACAATGATCTGGAAGAACCAGGCCTATACTTGCAATTCTCTGTCTGAAAAGGAACTCACTGTATTTATTGGATATATCAAACCATGCACTGTGTGGGCAACAAGACTAGTGAGTGGCAGACCCTTGGCTGGAGGGAGCACCTCCTCCCTTAGGAAGGGGCTGGAAGCTGGCCTTCCCCCTCCAAGAACAAAGGAGCACACTCACCTTTATGCAAAGGCGACACTGAGCCATGGCCACAGGCTGCTCTGTGGGGACCCCGGGAAAGGAGACTGTTCCATGTGTCCCTAAAGAGATGGAAAATGAGACCGTTGTTTGAAGCAGTGATGCATCGTAAGTATGGCCACCTTATCATACTGCTAAATTGCCAAATTATATATGAAGTTGATATTTGGGTTCTATTTTTATAATATAGTTCTAGATTTATGGCAATATGTACATTTTAATTTATAGTTCCGTGCTTTAAAGAAATACATGTATGAATAAAGAGCAGTATATTGAAAGTATTCTATTCAAGGTATTTAAGGACTCTACATCTGTATTCAATAAAATGCAATGCCAATAAAGATGATGATGTCATCATTTCTCCTGACAGACAATATAAAGCCACAGCTCAGTGGCCTGTATCTAGACTCTGCCAGCACCAGGGTCTGAGGGTGAGGCTGGAACAGGACATAAAGTCAGGAGTTTGAAGCCAACCTGGGCAACAGAAGATTCTGCATCTAAAAATAATAGACACTGGGCCATGAAAGAAAAGGAAGGAGGAAATGTCTCTGCTAGTGTATGTGTCAGGCCATATTGTGATTAAGGAAAGGCATGGGTTTCATGTGACATTTTAGTTGATTGACAGGAACTCAGTGTAGAGATGGATGCTCCCTGTAAGGCTGTCCAAACATGGGTAGGCAGCAGAAAGTAAAGATAAAACTCCAGGCTCAGAGGCTAAATGCTTGGCTAACAAGCCCAGTGGTACTCCACATTTGTTATGGGTCGCATGAGAAGTCTTATCACCTTTGAAGACCATAGAATCCTTATCTGTAATGTGGGAATGTTGAGGTCAACACTACTAACCTCTGGGGTTCAGGACAAGATGATATGAGATTGTTACAGGCTCACAAAGTGAGCAATCCAATGTGCCAGAATGGAGAGTCTTCCAAATGGGAACCCTGGAGCTTTCCCAGCTGAACTCTGGAGTATGCTTGTTAGAGAGCCAGGATGTGGGAAAGCCGCTTTTCAAAGAGATAATAGCTTAGGATATTCCAGGATGGAGAAGAGGATGAAAGTAATGTGATTTGTTTTTATCTATCATACATATGGCAGATGGCCTCCAAACAAACAGATGTGAAAATCAGAAAACACAGAGAACAGGAAGCAAAGACAATATAAAATTATGCCTCCTTTCCATTGTTTGGATGCTGATATCCAGAGAAGGCAGGTAGACTCCCTCTGAATGGCACAGGAGCAATGAGAAGTTTCCACATTATTCTGGAGCAGTAGTCTCCTTAGAGGGAAACCCCAGTGGCCATTCCCTTTGCCAGTTCATTCTAAACACACACACACACACACACACACACACACACACACACACACACACACACACAATCCCCTGAATTTCTCTTTCAAAAAGCCCTTTTACATACCAAGGGTGAGCAGTGCTCCTCCTGGGAGGAGCTGGCCTAGGAGGAGCTGGCCTCACATCACACAAAGACCTTTCTAAACCAACTCTATTGATTCCACTCCTATTATGTGTTCCTCCCATCTCTTAAAGGGATTTCTGTTCCTACCTGTTCCTTACATCAGGGGCCCCAGACTTCTGTCTATGTTCTCTATTTCTAATTAAAAAGTGATGATATGGCAGGCTGAGTTGATGCAGAAGGGCTCCTCCAACTGTGAAAACATATACTTAAAGGGGAATTATTTAAGCTATATACTGGCATTCAGAAGAAATAAATAAATAAATGAAATTCCAGCACTTGGGAAGCTGAGGCAAGGAGATCTCTGCAAGTTCTAGGCCACCCTGGACTACAAAGCAAGTTCCACGACAGCCAGAGCTATGTAAAGAGAGCCTATCTCAAAAACAGAGAAAGAAAATAAGTGCTCACATTCCAGAAAGAAGCATGCCCATGGTTAGCAGGAGCTTTAAGTTTACACATGACAGGTTTATCTTGTCCAGTGCCCTGTCCAAGAGCAACATGCAGGAGGAAAGGGTTTATTTAGCATGTTGTTCCAGGCAGCAGCCCAGGACTGCCAAGAAGTCAGGAGGCAGGAACTTCCAGCACCATATTCACAGTCAGGAGCAGAAAGAGAAGCAGCCCGTGGCCTGCTTCTGTGCATTGAGGATGCTCAGCTGGCTTTCTTCTCACAGTTCAGGGCACAATCCCATGAAATGGTGTCACCCACATTCAGATGGGTCTTCTCATCAATAAACAGTCAAGGAAATTCTGAGGACGAGACAGGCTGGCCTGATTTATAGAATTCTTCAATTAAGACTCCCTTCCCAGAGGTTCTAGGTGGTGACATTTACAACTAGCCAGCCCAAGACCCCTCTGGCCCACCCAGCACACCATCCCTTGGGGTTGACAGGATGTGCAAGTCCATGGATGTCCAGCACAAAACACAAAACCAGTTCCCAGAGGTATCTTCATCCTGTGCAAAGGACTAGAAAAACTCTTACCATCAGTTCCCTCCCTGCCCCAGGCAAGGGCAAGAAAGCATCTACCACTCAAGGTGGTAGATGTAGGGGGAAGAAACGCATGGGAAACCAAAACAACATAATTTATCATGGGAGCATGGGGAATCTGATTTTACACAATCATTTTAAAAAGCCAAATTGGCCTGATACAATAAGACCCAGAGAAGCACATATAAAACCACTTTCCACCTTGGACACATCAAACACCCACAGTGGGAAACAGTCTATTGCAGATGAGCTCACAGTCAGAAAACAAAGCTAGGAAATAATATGCACTACAGGAGAGCAGCAGAGAAAGCAAATAGGAGTCAGTACCACAGCAGCTTCAGATAATGGGCACTTCAGGGAAACCAATAAACAGATGTGTCTAATATTGTTAAAGACGTTGTTGAAGGAAGACAAAACCAGGAACTTGGACGAACATGTGAGAGTTGAAGGGGAAACAGTCTAGTTTGTTTTCTGTTACTGTGATAAAGACCATGGCCAAGGGAGGAAAGGATTTCTTCGGCTCACACATCTCGGCCATGGTCTATCACTGACAGAAGAGACAACAGGAACTCAAGGGAGGAACCCGGAGGCAGGCACTGAAACAGACCATGGAGAGATGCTGCTTACTGGCTTACTCTCATGGTTTTCTCAGTCTGCATTTTTATACAGTCCAGGACCACCTGTCCAGGGGTCATACCACCCCCAGTAGGCTAGACCCATCTACATCAATTAATCAAGGGCATGTCCCCACGAACCTGCCCACAGGCCAATGTGATGGAGGCAACTCCTCAGCCAAGGCCCCTTCCCAATGACTCTAGCTTCTGTGGAGTTGACAACAAAACCCAGCACAGGGAAACATTAGACAGAATGTGGGAAAACAGTCAGTGAGAAATGACTGAGAATATTGCAGCACATAGTGAAAATTTTAAAACTCATGGGTCAAAGTAAAGAAGACAACACAAACTTTAAAATGCTTAAAGAATGCTAAAGGTACCACATAACAATGCTGCTCCCAGAATGTCTCAGGGCCAAGTGTAGGATACCTTATTAAGCGCCCCCCCAAACAATACAGGCATTGCATTCTTCTTGGTTACCAACTAGAACTAGATGACCCTATTGTTGAAGACATCACTTGATTTGGTCTCAATGAAGCTTAAAATGAGCTGAAAGTGTTCTCCCTTCTGGCTAGCTTTCACACTGCCTAGATGTTCTATATACGTAGTCTGCTGGGGGAGGAAAGGCATTAACAATCTTACCTGGCTATGAGCCCTGTGCACCATTCAGTACCAATTTGCCGGGCACGTGTGCTCATTGGTGTAACAGTGGCATGACTGACATGGAAGCGTCCAATCACTTCATTGTTGGATTTGAGGCTCTCTCCACAAGAGGAGTTCACGTCTGCTACTATAAACCTGGCCAAAAGCCACAGCTAGGGAGGTCCTAGACCCTAAGGCAGGAGCTAACTGCTACTGTTTTGCTTAATGGATATGGTGCCAAACTGCATTCCAGCATTAATACCCATAGATTAGTGCCACTCTCTGAAATGGTCAGAGAAGTTTTTGTTTGCAGTTGATGCAGAGGACACATAACTGTTGAGTGCTTGGCCCAAAACAGAACAACTACCTCACTTCCTCCAAGGAATGCTGTGGAAGAAGATATGGAAAGAATGTAAGAGCCAGAGGATAGGAAGGGGTGCTGTGGCATACCATTTTCTAACCATGGCACTCGGAAAGCCAGCCAACACTTGCAGCTATGGTACCCGCGAACTGACAGCAGTAGTGGCTACCTGCATAAG